GTCGAAACGTCGGCAAAAATTAAAATTATTTATATATTTTAATTTTTTTTATTTATTTGACCGCACCCTCAACTAACTCCTTCTCATAATAGTATTATAGTGTTCTATTAACTTTTTTTTTTTTTTAATTAATACAGCAGCAATTAAATTTATACAATTTAAATTATAAACAAAGTAAGCTACCTTTTCTTATAGAAACGAAGCATTAAAATCTTTATCATCATTAAATGAATTAGAACTTCACCACCTTCAGTACTGGTAACATGCCCTGATGATTAAAAGCTTGGGTTGAAACGTTGGCTATAAAAATCTTAAGAAGCTGACTGACCTATCTATCACCCATAAAATCATTATCGATTCCTGTAGCCATTTCGAGACAAATCTACTTCTGAATAATGATTTTTCTTTATTTTTTTTTTTTTTATTTAATATGAGCTTTAGCTTCACTTGATTTATTAATTATGAAGTATAGGTTTTTAAAAAATTATGATCTTTCTGTTTCAGAAATATAGCTGCAATTTACCAATCCAACTTGAAAATGCTGTCTACGACAACAATCCTAGCGATATCTTTGATCTTGTGAGTGAAGGAGCCAACATACGCGGAGTGACTCAATTAGGGGACAGCCTTCTGCATTTGGCTGCAAGGGCCGAAAGCTATGCTTCCATTGCTGCTCTTGCTTTCCTAAACATAGATTTAGAAGTTGTCAACTCGAGTAATGTCACTCCCCTGGAGGAAGCAGTGAGGTGTAATTTCGCGTCTTCAGTTAAGGCTCTGTTAACGGCTGGTGCTAAATTTGACAAGCGCTTGTTTGGAGGTGATACCTACCTCCATATTGCTGCGGAAGGTGCCCACAACGAAGCATTGCAGGCTCTGCTGGAAGTAGAAAAGGGAGTAAATAAAAAGAATCAATCCGGCGAAACGCCACTTAGTAAAGCTGTTATAGCCAGCAATGACCGAGGTATTGAGTTGTTACTTGAGAAAGGAGCAGATTTCAATGATCTACACCATATCAGGTTGAATGATGGTGACTCCATCATCCATTCTGTAGCTCGCTCAGGAAATTACCATATTCTCAAATTTCTGAAAAATAGGAAGATACCAGCAAACCTAAAAAATCAAAAAGGCCTCACCCCATTACATGTCACCTCTAATCCTTCAGTCATGACAATGCTCCTTGGTATGGGTGTGGGTGTGGACATTCAGGATAAGTCTGGCAGCACTCCTTTGATGATTGCTGCAAGAAATTCCAAGGCCGAAATCGTGAATTTGTTATTGGTATATAGGGCTGATTTTACAAAAAAAGACAAAAAAGGACGTACTGCGCTTCATTACGCCGCTGAGGGAGGCTGTCTTGGTTCTGTGGCCGCTCTGTTGGACGCTGGAGCCAAAGTAGGTGTCCAGGATAACAACGGCGACACTCCTGCTTTCCTTGCAGCTGTAAACAATAGCCCAGAAGTTTGGCAAATGCTAATAGAGAAGGTTGACCTGGCTCTGAGGGACCACAATGGGGATGGGATGATACATAGGGTGGCCCGTTGCGGACTCGTTGATGTTGTGAGAGCGCTACTCGATATCAGCAGGGTGGCGGTAGATATGAAGGGAAAGAACCAATGGACTGCCTTACATTATGCGGCAGATGAAGGATACATTACAGTAGTGAAAACACTGCTTAATGCCGGGGCAGTGGTAAATAAAGTATGTCAGCTCCAGAGAACTGCGTTACATTATGCAGCAGATAAAGGTTACATCGCAGTAGTGAAAGTGCTGCTTGATGCCGGGGCGGTGGTAAATAAGAAATGTCAGCTCCAGAAGACTGCCTTACATTATGCAGCAGATAAAGGTCACATTGCAGTAGTGAAAGTACTGCTTGATGCCGGAGCGGCGGTCAATAAGATATGTCTACTTCAGAGGACTGCCTTGCACTACGCTGCAGAGAAGGGACACATTGCAGTCGTGAAAGCACTGCTTGATGACGGAGTGGAGATAAATAAGACATGTCAGTTCCAAAAGACCGCCTTACATTATGCGGCTGAAAATGGACATATGGAAGTAGTGAAAGTGCTGACTGATGCCGGAGCGGCAGTTAATAAGATATGTGAGCTCCAGAAGACTGCGTTGGACTGCGCTGCGGAGAAGGGACACATCACAACGGTAAAAGTACTGCTTGATGCCGGGGCAGCAGTAAATAAGAAAAATCAGCTCCAGAAAACTGCCTTACACTATGCTGCGGAGAAGGGGCACATCGAAGTGGTGAACCAGCTTTTGGATAGCGGCGCAGACCCCAGCGCTAAGTCGAGCGAGGGATACACGCCATTGATGTTGTCGTGCATTCACAATCACAAGACCGTAATGGAGTCGCTAGTTGACCGCGGTGCAAATGTCAATGCTAGAGACCTTGAAGGACAGACCGCCTTAAACCTGGCATTTGATTACAACCGGAATGCTGTGGCGAGTTACCTGATATCCAAGAGTGGCTTCATGTGACGTCGTTGGCCTGCTGTCTTCTATAACATTCTCCGCATGTGAACATGATCAGATCTTTCGAGTTCATTTATTTTTTTAACTGATGAATAATAAAGAACTTTCATAAAAATAAATTGAGTCTTTTAAAGACTAGATATACCAGTTACTTTTAATTTTGGACCGTTCAATGTGACCTCCACCAACAAAATATCGAGGTTGTATAGGCCCAATATTTTTGTAGGCTTCCTTTTTTTTCAATTTTATGATCACATTATCTTACGATTAAACTGGAAAGCAAATGGATAATTACGAGTTTTTAGTACCTAATTAAATTATTTTATTTAATTATGTCCTTGATGTGACAGAATGTAATATTTCTAAATAAACAAATATAAAATTGATATCAATTTTATTTAATTTAATGAGAAAATTCCCTGTTTCTAAGAATTTTCGTAGAATAATAATTTGTAGATTGCTGTAAGATGAAGCTATTCACAAAGTTTTAGGTGGATATTGATAATTTGCCAAAAAGGGGCCTGTACAACGAACTATTACCCTCACAACTTCATCTGCCATCCTGTTTGATGTCATATCGACCTCCTAGAATTTCTTTTGACAAATCATTTGATACTTCTCTGTATAACTTAATCCCTTCCTACTGAAATGTCATCCTCTCAGGAGACTTTAACACCAATTTACTAATGACGTCCTCCGATTATTCTTACCTGACAACTCTCCTCCATTCCCTCAGCCTTTACATTGTACCCTACAACCCACCCCATCATACTCAGTTCTTAGAGTCATGGATCGATCTGTTTATTCTAGACTCCTCAGACAAACTCCTTGCAGAGTCTCAGCACCCGGTTGGTCCCATTCCTATCATCCCACGATCTTATCCAGATTTCTGAAAAAATCCCTGTCCTATCTTTTTCTTCCCGAACGATATCCTTTCGAAACCTAAATTCTCTCACTCATGAAACACTGTCAAAAGATCTTGACGATATCCAATGGGATCCCATTTATTCCTCAAAATCCACTGACACCATGGTAGAAACCCTTACTACTCATCTTCACTCCATCCTCGACCGACATGCTCTTCTTATCACAAAAACCATCCAACATCCTCCTGCTCCTTGACTGACTCCTGCTTTGAAAGAGATGCTGCAAGGCGATGGTTTAAACGAACTGGACTTACTGAAGATTTTCTCTCTTTAAAACTGCTAGCATGAAAAAAAGTAATGAAGTAAAGGAAATTTTATTGGTGCATAAAAATTTTATTAACTACAGTTTGAAATTCCTTACAAAATGATAAAAATAGATATAAAATATATATCCAAACCGGACCGTTTTGAAGCAAATATATACCCAATTGTATCTTGTACTCATGTTTTGGTTTATTGGCTTATTAATATTTTTTTTATAATAAAAAAATAACAACAATAAACCATATCTCTCCTTTATTGAACTTGAAAGCATTAAATATATTTATTTCTTTATTATATTGGTTAGTGTATATAGGTATGCATTTCCCGGTGGGTCTGAAGGATTGAATTTTGGGGCTGGCTTCAGCCCTAAAGATTTTTTTATTTATTTTTCTTATAAATAATGATTACCACTTTGGTAGAAAAAGAAAGAAACTAACTAATTACCTATATAAATAAAATGGTGTTTAATTGATTCTTGAAGTTCTATTAAATTTAATTACAGGAACAATAATACTTTTACAGATAGATTTTTAATATTTATTACATATGACATGGTTATGTTTTAACTTTTTTTTGGGGGGAGGGAGAGGCTTCAGTCAGTGTCACCAGTACTTTTCATCCATGTATGATTCACTGATTATCACGAAAATATACATCTTGTCCTTTCTCCGAGACTACCGATTTTATTGAATTTTGGAATCAAAGTCAAAAGTGATCCAACGATGATCCTCCTACATTTCCGAAATTAGATTTCCAAATAACTCAAAAAATATACACTTTTTTGTCGATGTTGTATGGTTATTGTAAAATTCACTTAATTAAAAGAAATAAACTTAGAAATCGGACAATTTGGTGCAAAGATATGGCGTTCTGTATATTTTTTTGCAAGCTATATGTGCTACTGCAAAGCTTAAATAATTTATTCTGATCTTTTATTTTTTGAAAGTTTTACATCATGTGAAACAGTGTTGTCTATTTTTCTTAACAAATTACTAATGATGAGAAAAACAAAATAGCTTGTCAACACTAGCGGATCCAGGATTTAATTTTTGGGGGGGGGGCTTCAGCCCGAAACCTTTTTTTTTTCTCTTAAAAATAACGATAATTACTTTGGAAAAACAGAAAGAAACTAACTACCTATATGAAATGGTGTTTATGTTATTCCTTAAGTACTTTTAAATGTAATTACACGAACAATAATGCTTTAAGAGGTATTTTTAAAATTTTTTTTCCCATAACACATGGTTATATTTTTCCATTTTGGGGGGGGGGCTTCAGCCCGAAAGCCCCCCCCCCCCGTAGATCCGCCCGTGCTTGTCAATGTTATAAATCGCCTTTTATTTAATTTTCCTTTATGTCAGGAGGAAAGAGATGTTACTTTTGATGTATAATTGATTGAAAATGATAAACCATTGTGTAATAATGTATAGCGGTTTAGTTTTCTTTATGAAATCAATGTCAACTCTTAAAAGTCAATAATAGTAGTCAGGTAATCGATAGTCAAATAAATAATCGATTTGTCGTGTAAATCGGTAGAGACATAAAAGTGATTCAAACCTCTTTGGGATTATTATTATTTATTGATTTTTTAAAAATAATTTTATTAGTTGTTATCATAGGAATAATCAATAAAAGATAAAGGTGTTCCTAATGTTATTCCAGGAAGGTTTGATAGTTTTGGTATTTTTTCTTCAAATAAACTTTGATGAATAGGATTCGTTTTGTTTACATACTGTGATAAGGTGAGATTCAGTTGGGTTGTGGAAAGATACCCTATAACCTCCTGGTATCCTCTCCATGACGCGGCGTAGTTCAAAGCAGTAAAGCCCCATTTATTTGTCTTTTCTATATTTAGAAGGCCTTGGCGAAGAAGTTTGACTATTTTGTAGTGACCTCTGCTAGCACTTCGGTGAAGAGGAGTTCTTCCATTGACATCAGGCTGGAAACCTTCGACTCCGAACTGTAAAAGCAGCGCTGCGACATCAGCGTGTCCTTCCCTCGAAGCTAATATCAAAGGAGTTTCGTGATTATTATTCACAGACATTCCCAGGATAATTCCTTTCTGGTGACTGAGTAACATAAGGACTATTTTATAATGCCCATTTAATGCAGCGTAATGTATAGGTTGATTGAACAAGAAGTCCCTGCTGAATAAATCGGTTTCTTCAGTTAAAAGGATTTCTACACATCCTGAGGAATTGTCCCGAGACGCAACATGTAATGGCGTCATTTGGTTGTTGTCTATTTGATCGATATTCGCACCAAACATTACCAAAGAGCGGACAACACCAATTTCTGTTTGTCTTGACTTGGTGGTATTCCCGCAAGCCAGATGGAGCGGTGAGCTGCCGTTTTTGTTCCCGATATTTACAAGAGCTCCAGAATGAAGTATCAAATCGATTATTTCCAAGTATCTGTTTCTTGCGGCGAAGTGCAATGGCTTCATACCATCAATGTCAGTTGCTTCATTATCAGCTCCTGTGTTCAATAAAATTTCTACGATTTCCTTATGACCCTCCAGAGAGGCGAAGTGTAATGGAGTTTTTAGGTCGTCAGTTTCAGCCTCCATGTTTGCTCCGAGCTTCAGTAACATCTCGGAAATTTGCAAAGATCCGCTAACGGCAGAAAAGTGCAGTGCCGTATATCCAACATTGTCCGCAAGATTTACAGCAGCTGGAGGATTGGAAAGTAATAATTCGACAATTGCAAAATGACTTCGCTTGCAGGCTACGTGTAATGGAGTTGTGCCGTTGAAACCAGCAGAATCCTTATTGGCTCCAGAATTCAAAAGAAGCTTCACTACCTCGACATGCCCCTCCTCACAGGCATAATACAGTGGTGTATATCCTTGTATATCTCTAACATCCAATGAAGGTCTGTGTGATATTAACAGTTTCGCAACTTCTGTGAGTCCTAGTTTGGAAGCAATGTGCAGTGCTGTAAATTTAGGGTATTCTTCGATTTTTTCATAATTACTTTCCGAGAAATTAAAAACAAACTTCACATCACTATTTGCATCTATAAATGTTTGGAAATTCTCTTTAACAATTTTGTCTGTTGCTGTATCCAGAATCAACTTTACCATATCCACACTTTTCGACATAACAGCTGAAGAAAGAGGAAGATTACCATGGATGTCTTTCTGCTCTATATTGGCTCCGAAAGTAATTAGTAGATGGACACCATCATAAAAACTATTTCTAATAGCATAATTAAGTATAACTGTAGGATATGAGTGAATATTTTTAACACTGCCTACCAAAAGATGCAAGATATCCAATGATTTTTCCGCAACAGCGTCAAAAAGAACTTTTGATCCTACGAAAGTATTATCTTCCAATTTCGCACCATTATTAAGAAGAAATTTCAAATATTCTTTAGATGAACTTTGAAAGGCTAAATCTAGAGGCGTCCTTCCATCTTCACTCATCACATTAACATCTGCATCCTTAGACAAAAGAAATTTAATCATGTCAGTATTGTTAGCCGTAATAGCTAAATGCAATGCTGTTATATTGTTACACCCTCTCCTATTGACGTCATCACCATATCTAAACAAGGTTTTTATAACGTCGACATTTCCATTGTAGACAGCCCATTGGAGTGGGGTGAAGCAAACGTAATCTTCGACGCTGAAATTGGCTCCCTCAGATGCCAGATAGCCGACAACTCCAGGATATCCCAGTGCAGCAGCTTCGTGCAGCACTGTTTGGTCCAGGATATCTTGTGAATTCACTTCAGCCCCGTGTTCCATGAGAGTTTTCATCACAGTAGATATTTCGTTTTCTAAAATAGAATTCACCCAAGTCATCTCTTTATATTTCTTTTTTAAAACAGTTGATTCATCTTCCACCAAATATGTCTTCGTTACTTTCTTTTTTGTCCGGAGCGCAAAGTTTAATGGTGTTTTACCATTTACTCCTCTATTATTTCCATCTGCTCCATGATCGAGAAGAGCGTTGACCACTGTAAGGCTTCCATTCAAAGCTGCATAGTGTATGGCTCCATTATTACTGTAGTCTTTTGTTTCTAGCGTAGCATTTTTCGATATTAATAAATTTACAATACCTTCATCGCCATTCATTGCAGCAACCATCAAAGGTGTCATTCCAGTATTTCCTTGAACATTAACATCAGCTCCGTGAGCGATAAGAGTTTTAGTGATGTTAAGTTTCTTTTGCACCACTGCAATATATAAAGGGGTCATACCAATTTGGTTCTTTAAATCTACACTAGCGTTAGTCGAGAGCAGTAAATTTACAATAGCTTCGTGACCGTTTCTAGCAGCCATGTGTAAAGGTGTTTCACCAAAATTGCCATTATCGATGGAATGATAATCGATGGATGAAAAGATATACCTTGGATCGCTTCTTATACCACTATCAAGATTGTTTATTGAATCCACAATTGCATTCCTTGAAAGTAGTAACTTCACGATTGTTTCGTAGCCTTTCCTCGCAGCAATATGTAGTGGTCTTTCACCGAATTTCCCCTTACTATTGACATTAGCGCCGTGATCTAGAAGTATCTTAACTACTTCGGATTTTCCATTGTAAGCCGCATAATGGATTGGAGCATCCTCGAAAAAGTCTTTCTTATCAACCATTGCGTTCTTCTCCAGTAGAAATTTGACAATAGTTTCGTAGCCCTTTTCTGCCGCAAGACCTAGCGGTGTTTTACGTTCGTATCCTTCAAGGTTAACGTCATACTTAATTTCTAAAAGATCCTTAATCTTGTCGAGGTCGTGATTGGTTATGGCCGTGTGCAATAGAGAATCTTCCCCTCGCCAAATATCTCTGCGCAATCGACTATCGAACTCTTCATGTAGCACATGCGATTTACCTTTGTCCTCAATTTGAAGTATTTCTCTATTACCTGAATGCAAAATGTGTAACCCTTCATTTTGAATGTTGGCGTTAATATTTTTACCGTTATTTGTTGAGTCCACATTTTGAACGATCAATTTCAAAGCTGATACTTCCTTTTGCTCATTTTCATCCTGAAAATAATTTTTTTTTATTTATTTATTTAATGAAATTTACTAATGTATAAACAATACAACTAGTAAAGATGCACACATTACAAATCATGACATGAACAGACTTCAAGAGATACTGCCCAGTAATAGCATTCCCAATTTAATTCTAGGTGAGATCACGAGGCCATCTTCTTTTCAGACGCCTAGGGGGATTATCAGGAATCGAGGAAGAAGCAAGACTGGAAACAAATGGATTCGGATGGGACTGGAGTTTATCATGAAAGGATATGTATCTGGCTGGGGCTAAATCAGCGGCATGAAAATAAAAATAAATATATATAAGGGTTTCCTAGGATTTTCCCTTTCTTCGCACTATCTCAACTTAACATTATGTTTATTTTATACATTTTGGACCAATAATGAACTGTTTACAGTTATTGATAATTCAATATCTTATGATGTAAGGAGAATAAGATATGTGGGTCATGTACGTCGGAAAAATCCAGCAAAAAGCACCTACATAGAAATAAACGACTTACATGGAACGCGAAAACCAAATGAATAGATCGAATGAACGAAAATACCTTAGAGGAGCACAGGGGTGCCCATCCTCCACCAAGGTCGATGGGTAATATTTCTCCATCTTTAAGTCTATTAAAGATATTAATAGATTTAATAGACTTAAAACATTAGATAAGGATAAGCCTGACATAGACTTCAATTGGGTGTCTCAATTTAGAGCAATAGCCGAACTTAATGCCTTTGCAGAAGAGCTTTCTGTTCACCACACAAACGGACTTCTTCGATACAAAGACGACATCCTTGAAAAAGCACACAACTATTATTTCTCAGCTGACATACAAAGAACTTTAAACTCCACTAACTACCCTTTATATAGAATGCTATGCAGTTACAATGCTCCCGATCCTGAAACGTATCTTACATTCAAAGTCCACATAAAGAAATTGAGATGTGTCAGTCAATTAAGAGTTGCGAACCCAGAACAAATCAGAATTTATGCAAAAAACCACAATTTTTTCGATTGAGTCTCAAGAAACCTTTATTTCATGCAGCCAATTTATTTACAATAGTCTACATCACATTCTCCTTCACTGCCCAGCATACAATGACTATAGACAAAAATTCCTTCAAAAGTTCATCTCAGAATCTTCTGATAACCGCAACGTCGATTCCAGACTGAATATCGATTGTGCAGATAAATTAAATAAAGTTTACTATTTTATGATGGGAGTTCACAAAGTGCATACACAAAATTGTTGATCATAGCCATGTTCTATTAAGCATTTGTTTTTAGTTTATTTAAGAGTAATATTTTGTTTATATTTATAAATATTTTTATTTTGTATTGTTTCTATCATAGTAACTGGTTCATATAACCAATATTATGCAGTAATCGTTTTATGTTTTTAATTTTTATTGCTATTCATGTTTTGTGAAAACCACTCTAAACGTTAAATATTGTAAATTTGATTTATATTTGAATTATATGTATGTAAGTTTGTAAAACCATCTTATTGTACAATAGCCAAGCTAAGCTCTATTTATTTGTTTGAGGAACCCCCTTAAAACAAATAAAATATCTATCTATCTATCTAGTTGTTAAATAATATGTGTCTGATAAGGATGTATTTGGATTGTAAAAACTAAATTAAAATTAGTTTTGTAGGATCTTGAAAATGGCTCCTGAAGCCGAAATATTGAATAAAGAATACAGGATATAAAAACTGTATATTTGGTGACCTTTGGCCTAAAATACATATTAAAAAAAATATAGATTTACTTTCCTTTCTTCTCTATTAGAATAAGATGTTGTGCAGAGCCCATAAAAATTTTCTTCATTTGTTCCTCTTTGTATTTTTTTCTCTGGGTATCCTTCTGCAAATACGATCTAATGTCTATTTTTGTCTCGCTGATTAGCTTTAAATATTTATAGCATATTGTTCTTCAGAAGACTCTTGACGATAAAAATGTTATTATCATAACATTATAAAAACAATATGAATAGTTAGAACGTTCCTTCCATAATATGTTAAATTTACTTATTTCGACATCAGATAACAATTTGGTCTCTGATCAATATACTAAACGAATTTTTCGCAAACAAAATAAAATAATCTCAAAGTGATTCAAAAGGGTTCCATTCGTTTTTAAAATTGTTTTAAGTTACACATATGAGATCTTATCGAAATAAGGCATAAAATAAAAAGGTATTCCTACTTTCATACCAGGGAACTTAGGTATATGAATAATTTTTGGGAGCATCTGGTTACGTTGCAAAGGATTTGATATATTTAAATAATATGATCGCGTGATGTCCAATTGAGTAGTGGAAAGATATCCTATAACTTCTTGGTGTCCTTTCCAAGACGCACCATAGTTCAACGCTGTGAAGCCCCATTTGTCTACCTTATCTTTATTTAAAAGTGCTCGGCGAAGGATTTTAACTACTTCTATGTGACCTCTGCCAGCTGCGCGGTGCAAAGCAGTCCTTCCATGGAAGTCAGGCTGAAGACCTTCGACTCCAGCACGTAAAAGTAATGCGACAACATCAGCGTGGCCTTCTCTTGCGGCTAAAAACAAAGGCGTCTCTTGAACACCGTTCACAGACATACTAAGAGTTATCCCTTTTTGAACATAAAGTATATGAAGCACTACATCATAATTCCCGTTCAATGCCGCGTAATGGATTGGTTGATTGAGTGACGTGTCCCTACGAAATAGGTCTGCTTTATAAGAAAGAAGGAATTCCAAAGACTCTGTAGAATTTTCTCTAGCCGCAACATGTAATGGAGTCATGTGTTTGAAGTCGAGTGAGTTAACATTTGCACCATGCAAGATCAAAGAAGAAATAATAACATTGGTTAAATCCTTGGAAAAGTTTATTTTACTTCCGCTTGCCAGATGAAGTGGGGTGCTGCCATTTTTGTTTCTGCTGTTGACGAAAGCACCGGACTTAAGCATGAAGCCGACTACCTTTGCGTGTCCTTCTTTTACAGCTAAATGCAATGGCGTCATACCATCGATGTCGGATGCTTCTTCGTTGGCTCCTTTTCTCAATAATATATTGACGGCGTGCTTTTGACCCATGAGAGAAGCTAAATGTAATGGAGTTTTGAGGTCGTCAGTCCTAAATTCTTTGTTAGCGCCATTGGCAAGTAAATAACTGACTATTTCATGAGATGCAGTCATTGCAGCGAAGTGTAGTGGACTGTAGCCTGTATTATTCGCTAGATTGATGAATGCTGGCGGATCAGAAAGTAGTAATTTAACAATTTCGAACTGACTTAGCCTGCAAGCGATTTGTAATGGCGTGGTTCCATCCAAACTGAGAGTATCTTTATCGGCTTCGGATTCCAAAAGAAGTTTCACTAACTCCACGTGCCCCTCCTCACAGGCGTAATGGAGCGGCGTATATCCTTGTACATCTCTAACATCCAACGAAGCACTGTATGATATCAACAGTTTCGCGATTTCCGTGAGACCAAGTTTGGAAGCAATATGTAACGCAACAAATTTGCGATACTCTACTATTTTTTCTGAAGAATTAAACACAAACTTCACATTACAATCTGCATCTATAAAAGTTTGGAAATCCGTCTTACTCATTTGGTACGCTGCTGTTTTCAAAATCAATTTAACTATATCAAAATTTTTCGACATAACAGCTGAAGAAAGTGGATGATTACCATGGATGTCTTTCTTCTCTATATTGGCTCCGGACGAGATGAATAAATGCACACAATCATAAAAACTATTTCTAATGGCATAATTGAGTATAACTGTGGGATAAGTGTCAATTTGTTTTACACTATCTATCAAAGAATAAATTATATCCAATGATTTTTTAACGACAGCATCAAAAAGAACTTTTGCTCCTATTAGACTATTATTTTCTATTTTCGCTCCGTGATCGAGGAGTAACATTAAAATTTCTTCAGAGGATATTTGAAAAGCAAGGTCTAAAGGCGTTCTCCCATCTTCGCTCATTATATTTGGATCTGCATTCTTGGATAAAAGAAATTTGATGAACTCAGTGTCATTTCTTTTTATTGCTAAATGTAATGCTGTTACATTATTACAACCTCTTCTGTTTATGTCGTCTCCGGCTTCTAACAAGCTCTTTATCACATCAACATGTCCATTATTAGCTGCCCACTGTAGAGGAGTGAAGCAGACATAATCTTCGGTACTGAAATTTGCTTTCTGAGATATCAGATAACGGACAATCTCAGCGTTACCAAGTGCAGCAGCTTCATGGAGTACAGTTTGATCGAGGTTATTTGGAGAACTCACATCGGCGCCATGTTCCAGAAGGGTTTTCATAACTGCGATAATCTCATTTTCTGTCACAGGATTTACTGTTTCAATCGAGTCCTGACCTGTAATTATTTTGTTCAGCGACATTTTCAAATACTCTTTGTTCCCCCAAACCGCGAAACTTAAAGGTGTTTTACCATTTACTCCTTTACTATTGACATCTGCCCCACGATCGAGAAGAGAATTGACTATTCTCATGTTTCCTCTCAGAGCTGCGTAGTGTATGGCAGAATTGTTACTATTGTCTTTTGTTTCTAGAGTAGCGTTTTTAGAAATAAGTAAATTCACAATTGCTTCAGCACCGTTCCAAGCAGAGACCATCAAAGGTGTCATTCCATTATTTCCCTGAACATTAACAATGGCTCCACGGCCAATAAGAGATTTAGTGATTTCAAGATTCTTTTGAATTATTGATAAATGCAAAGGGGTCAAACCAATCTGGTTTTTTATATCTACACTAGCGTTTTTGAACAGCAGTAATTTTACCATTCTTTCGTGTTCCTTCTTAGTTGCAATGTGTAGCGCTGTTTCGCCATATTTTCCCTTACTATCGATTCTAGCACCGTGGTCAAGAAGTATCTTAATCAAGTTAAGTTTTGTATTGTATGCAGCATAATGTATTGGAGCGTCGTTACGAATGTCTCTTTCATCCATACTTGCATTATTCAACAACAGATATTTCATAGTCATTTCATAACCTTTCTCGGTAGCTATATGAAGCGGTGTTTTATTTTCTATTCCTTTCATATTAACATCAACGCCTTCAGAAATAAGTTTAGTAACCTTCAAGAAGTTGGCGTTTCTTACAGCAACATGCAACGGAGGATCATTGCGCATGTTCCTTTTTATACGCAATCCTTCATTTTGAATAATATTAACATTTTCACAATCGAAATAATTTGATTTTTTCAGATCACAAATGGTCGATTTATCAATCGAATAGTATCCTTCCTTTTGATCTATCCGCTCCTGAAAAATATAAAAACAAATATCATATATTTATAACTAAGAACAATTTAACCCTCATCAACTTCTTTTTAATGCCATCTACTTCCATCATAGGTCAAAGTGGGGAGAAATATAGGGATAAATAAAATTTAAGGAAAGAATGGAATTACAAATTATATAATCAGTAAGTATTGACAGTAATGTGAGGTACTTCATTTTTCATTAACATCGTAAAGAATAATAATAAAATAAAGTTTATTAATCAATAAGGGAATGTGAAAGGAATAGAAAAGCATAAACAAAGATTTACAAAAAGACATACATAGCCAGATTAACAGAAAACATTTTAAAAAATCCTTAAAACTTTTGATAAAAATAAAATAAAATTAGATCCAATATGATTGAAACAAATTCGAAAGCAGCATGAAGTAGGAAATATTTCACAATGGTTTATTATTTTCAAACAACTATACATCTAAAGTAACATTACCTTCCTAGTTACAAAGAAAAATAAATAAAAGGTGATTCCAATTATTGGACTAAACTTTTATTTTATCATTAGTAATATGCTAAAAAAAAAAAAGGTATTACTTCAGTGACACATTCAAAATTTAAAAATCAAACAAAGGATATAACATTTAGTGTAGAACATATAAAAAAAAAAACCGGAGAACATATCTTTGCTCCTAATTATCTTATTTTAACGTTGTTTTTTTTTTGTTTTTTTTTTAGGAAATTCAGTAAACTTTTAAAAAACCATGTACAATATCGACAAAAAGTGTAACTTAATCGACAAAATCTAGTAACTTTTTTTCCAGCTTCTTTTTGTTGAAGTAAGTTATATAGATAAATTTAAAGGCGTCAATAAAATGACTTTAGCGAAGTTTCATTGAAATCGGTACATTCGTTTAGGAGCTACAGTTTATAGCAAAGCATGTTTTTCGGCCGCCATTTTGAGAGTAAAAGGCGGATGGTAATGTCGATGAAGGAGGATCATCCTCGGGTGACCTCTGATTTTATATCCAAATTTGAAAAAAATCGGTCCAGTAGTTTCGGAGAAAATCTTTTTTTAAAAATTTTTTATTAGTTTTTCGAATTCTACGCGTCCTGAAACGTGAAACCTCAAATTTTGAGAGGGGGTTAAGTTTTTGAATTTTTTGGTCGATCACAATGGTTGATTATTGAAAATAATAACCAAAAATAAGAATGGAATAATAGTTACTGGTGCTGGTACTGGTGGGGGAAAATAGTTTGGCAAGTGGGCAACATTGTCCTTTTTACCAACCCCTGACGAATAACTTCAGATGGCCGCCCCGGAAATAATAGTTACGCAAGTTTTTTGAAAATAATATTCCATAATTATGATTACTAAGGCTGTGTAGAGGAAGTGTGCCCAGAAGAGGATTGTATGACACAGGCTAGGCCATCAAAATTTTTGAGGGGCCACATTTGTATGGAATTTTTAATTTTTGAGGTGGTTGTATATTTTTGTTGAATTTCAATTTGAAGAAATTTTTCAAACCAGAAAATAATGAAAAGATGGAAAATATTTACAATCTATGATTTGCATTTTTTCTAATTATACATTTGCTTGCACACTAATTATACTTCTCTTTAACACTGATGGGATAACGTTAGTTATTATAATTTTAATAATTACTCCTATATATTAAATATTTTATTCATTGTGGCTCTTTCATAAATAAGAAATATAAGTCATCTACTATCTAAAAAATGAACGATAGAAGATTAATGAAAGTTGATATTGCTACCTGGAATAACTTCAGATTATATTCAGTAGATTGTAATTAGGAAGATTTTTTTGTTTCTCTTTTTACTTTCACTTACATATATATGTAATATATAGTAAGTGTAAGTATTGCGATCTTGAAAATTTTCCAGTCTGAGTTTTCAATATCAGAAATACACGTTTTGAGGTCCCCTGAGTCAAAATAACCAATTCCTACAAAATGGTATGTGTGGGTGTATGTATGTATGTGAACAGCCTAGCTCAAAAATGAAAAATCGTACAAATTTAAGGTTTTCATATACCTGGGATGATATAGCAACTTAGAGTGGTAGTTAGAAGTGGTACTTTCTATCATCGATTTAAGACATTTTTACGATTTGTTCAAAAATAGCTCTATCGATTTTGATTAAACTGAATATATCAGTGCACTAACGGATCCAAGATTTAATTTTGGGGGAGGGGGCTTCAACCCGAAAGATTTTTTATTTGTAGGTAAATATCACGCTAATTACTTCAGAAGCAAAAAAGAAACTATGTACCTATATGAAACAGTGTTTAAGTAATTCATTAAGTCCTATTAAATGTAATTAGACCACTTATAGAGATAATACTTATAAAGATAATACTTATAGAGATAATTAATGTTGGCCCAATAAGCTGCTTTCGTTCTTTTTTGCAACGTCCGAAACTCGGTAAATATATATTTTATACTATGTCCGATCGTGCAATAATGTAAACCATTTATATTTTTATTTAATTTATCTATTCAACTATTTCTTTTATTGATCAATATCTTTTAATTGACAATTTTTTGAAAATGAATTCTTTTATTAAAATAAAAGAAACTGGACTGGGAACTGGAAAGATTTTAACGAAACTTGGCTAAAGTCTTACCCTTGAAACCATTTTAATTTGTGTGTTCTTTCTTAACATACTTTCCCGAAAACAAGCTGCAAAAAATATTACGATGAATTCAAAATTTTATTTGCCAATAACTAAAAAAGTACACAATTTTTGATTGGCAATACTCATATTCATTTGAAATCTTTCTCAATTCCCTACAAAATAAAAAAAAATAATCATTTATCACGATTCGTTGCAGAGATATCGAGTTTTAAACATTTACTACTGTTTCTTCGGAAAAGGCCATCTCTCCCCCACCTTTTTTTGGTTATTGATTAATCGAAAATTTTATAATTACTGAAGTAATTGAGATTATCATTTGAAGAAGTGATATGATTCTCTTTATGTAGGTCAATACTATTATACCCTCTTTAAATTCAAATTTATATTTTCCCCCAATGTATTCGGGGAGTAGTATGTTCCATCTCAAATATTTGATATGCTATTATTTAAAAATATTGAAACCTTCAGTAATAATTATCACCGTTTATGTTCTTGATTCCTTTTTAGAAATCAGTTTTTCATAGATTATAGTTTATTGTAACGATTTATTTTTTAATAAATTATTTTCTTTAACATTACATTTGAATAAGGCTGTGCCGTTTGCCGTAAGGTTTTTTTTACGAGTAAGGTTTATTTTTCCACTACAGTTTTTATAACTTTATATTAAATCAAGCGGGCAATCAAATATCTTAGGAGGGGCATGGGAAATCTTTTGAAGGAGGTAGAAGGCAGCACTAATGCAACGTTTGATATTTAAAATTTTTTGAAATTGAAACGGTATCATAAAATATTTTGAACAGCATGTGTTGCTTTTAAATCCAAGTACAAGTGGATCTACGGGGGAGAGGGGGCTTTCTGGCTGAAGCCCCCCCAAAATGGTAAAATATAACCATGTTTTACAGAAACAAATATTAAAAGCTATCTCTTAATGTATTCTTGTTCGTGTAATTATATTTAATAGGACTGTGTAATTATATTTAATCCAACCGATAGTTTTAAATAAATATATATATATAGTTTTATCTTATATTTTGTAATATAAGGTATATAAAACCACGCGCCTATTTAAAAGCAGCTTTAAGCCAAAATTTCAAGGTAATCGGTGAAGAACTCTCCGAGATTTAAGATTTTGAAAACATGAACATTTTTCAATTTTTATTTACCATAAAATAACCAAACAAAGTTGAAGATTAAAAAAATACATTAAATTTAAAAAATATTAATAATAAAATTAAACATGAAAATATAGAGGAGAAGATGTCGATTTCTGTTAATGGGTTCAATTCAAACTGTTTCTGATGATTTTGTTTAAGGATATTAGAGTTAAATATGGAAAAAGATCATTAGAATTAGTTTAAATTTAAGCTTGATTAATTAATTAATTTTCCAAACAATTTTTTTCTCAAATTTTAAAAATGACAGATTTTTTTTTTTTTTTATATTAAGCAAACTGATATGTGGTTTTTTTTCCATTTTGCCATGCTGAGCCATAGCAGCGCCTGACCGGGTAAAGCTAATCTATATATATATATATATATATATATATTCATATATATATAAATGCACAAAGGACAAACAGACAGACAGACATACATTCATTTATATGTATATATATATATATATATATATATAAATGAATGTATGTCTGTCTGTTTGTCCTTTGTGAATTACTAAAACATTCATCCGATCGCCATGAAACTTTGGGAAGTTGTTCTGTACACTCCTGGGAAGGTTTCTGCCATAGTACTTCTATCTTACGATCATTTTATATATGTAAAAAAAATAAAAATGTAAATGTTTTTCTGTTCAAAGCCGCAAAAAATGTGTCGCTATAAACTGTAGCGCCAAAACGGCTTTACCGATTTTAACGGAACTTGGCTAAGGTCTTTCCCTTGAAACCCTTTTAATTTATAGGTATAACATACTTTCCCGAAAAAAAGCTGAAAAATGTTACGATGAATTCAATATTTTATTTGACGATAACTAAAAAAGTACCCAATTTTTGATTGATAATACCCAAATTTATTTGAAAGATTTCTGAATTGCTGACAAAATAAAGCAGTAAATGATTAAAATTCTATAACTCTCCAACGAACCGTCCAATTTCGATGATTTTTTTTCTCTCTTCAGAAAAGGCCATTTCCTTTTGCTTCCTCACTACTGAAGGAAGGAAAGCATTGTTTTCTTTTTTGTTTTTTTTTTTCTTTTTTATTCATCGAAAATTTTATAATTACTACAGTAATTGAAATTATCATTTGAAGAAGTTATATGATTCTCCTTATGTAGGTCAATACTATTATACGTTCTTTATATTAATTTTTTATTTTAGTTTTATAAGTTCCACTCAGACTGTTTCTGATGATTATGAATGACGGCGTATTCACTCAGATGATTATGAATGTTCAATTTGAATCATGAGAAAAAAAATCATTAGAATTAGTTTAAATTGAAGTCGATTTACAGACAAATTTGTTTCCCTACTTTTTAAAAATGACAGATGTCCTTTGCTATTAACCCACTCATCTGTGCTTTCTATTTCCTTTCTTTTCCATTTTGCCAGGCTAAGCCACAGCAGCGCCGGGTAAAGATAATTAATACATAAAAAACTTTAGGACTTTCTGTTTCCATGGCTCCAGGTATGTTAATTTTATAAAATATAAGGTATTATTAAAATCACTTTATCGTAATAATATATAAAATAATGATAATGATAAACCTTATTTTTGATTTATTTGAGAAATAAATGGAAAGAAATCCGTTACATTGACATATGGAGAGGTGAGAGAAGGCGATTTGGGTTAAATTGTTCTTAGTGATAGAAATATAATTGTTATCCAACTATTTTTAAAGAACTATAATTATAAATTTAATCGATACGTATACTTACAGAGAGAACATGCAGAGAGAGGAAAAGTAGGCAGACGAGAAAGAACGACATATCAAGAACCTAAGATAGACTGAATTGCCTAGGCCTCTTGAATCTAACGTAGTGCTCTATTGCAAAGTCATTTCATTAGATATTTTTAACTCTATCAATATTCATTTCTAATGCTATTTAAAATCAAATATGTAAATGTTAGGTTAAGGAATTGCATTGTAAACTGATCACAATCAGAATTGAAATTATTAGAGCCAATGTTTGAGTTAAACAAAGCAATGGGATATTTAAAAAATTTTTTTTTTAACATTAGTACCCCGCTTATCGATAATATAGAACATCCGCGCTTAATCGAATTACTCCATAGCCCGCGGTATCCGGAGATCGGCAGACTTTGTTTATTTAATTACGCAATAAAAACTTATGAACACCCATACACTAGCGGATCCAGGATTTAATTTTGGGGGGGGCTTCAACCCGGAAGCTTTTTTTTTTTATAATGATGTAGAGATGGTTGATCGTTGATATAATATGAGAAGGAGTTAATTGGGAGGTGCGGTCAAATAAATACTAAATTAAAGTATAGTAATTATTTTAATTTTTGCCGACGTTTCGACCCACTTTGCAGGTCGTCTTCAGGGCTACAAAAGATACAAAACATGTTGAAAATAAAAAATAAATATAAATAGATATAAAATAAGAAGAAGTTGTCAGATACAGAAATAAAAAGATGATATCAGAGATATAGTGGGTGACAATGTAGTTAAAATATTAAGTATTATATATGCAGAAGATACAAACAAATTGAAAATAAGAATGAATAAAAATAAAAATAAAGGAGAATATAGCATGTAAGTTAAAAGTAAACAGATTGCGATAAGAGATAAGGAATGATAAGTGTATAACAAACTAATAGAGATTACATTAGATAACTGTGGGTTAAGAGATAAAGAAAATGAATGTTAACGAATAAATAGATTGAAAATTGAATAAGTATTGTTATAGTAAAGTTATAATAAGAATAAGATAACATAATAATAAGATATCAGTGGATAACAAGCTAGTGGAGGTTACCTTTGATTGTAAGTAAACAGATAACGGGACTAAAGGTTAAGAAGTAAAGAAATTGAAAGATTAATAGGGTAACATTAGTGTAATATCGTTAGGATAGATTATTAAGTATAAATAACTCTATGAGAAAACAATAATTTTAAAAGAAAACTTTAGAATTTAAGTATAAATTTGTTATACTTTTTTTTATATATATTTATAACGATAATTACTTTGGAAAAACAGAAAGGTACTAACTACCTATATGTAATTAAACGAGCTATAATACTTTCAGACATAATTTTGTACCATAAAACATGGTTACATTTTACCATTTTGGGAAGAGGGCTTCACCCCGAAAGCCTCTACCCGTAGATCCGCCTATGCACCCATATGCTTTCTAAATGAACAGTGTCACCGCGCGGTCTGTGACAAAACCTCGTACTCAAGCCTCGTACATCCTCGTACGCTTGCTCATTCATAACTTGTACTATTATAAGCCCAGTGTTATTGTTTTTTTTAATAGTAAAATTTGTTTTTCCTAATTGCTTATTTATTGAAATATATTACAATCTTTCTCAGGGACGTTAATAATAGTGTTCACAGATCACATTCACACTCTAAATAGTAAAATTAGATCACAATTTTTTATTTTTACCTCCATTCATATATTTTAAAGCCTTTTTACATTACTTTTTTTTATAAGTTAATGGGTCAAGAAGTAAAATTAGCTTAATAAAATATATAAAAAAGTTAATATATATTTTTATAAACTACTGAAAACGTTATATAAAAATTAAAATAGCTAAATAAACTTCTTAAAGTACTCTTCATAAGTATTCATCCGTAGATCCAAGATTTAATTTGGGGAAGGACTAATTTTTTTTCTTTTTTCTAAAAACAAAACAACTACTTTTATGAAAGGACGTTAGTGGTTTTGGAAGGCCAATAAAAATTAATTATTGGGGCATTGATGCTTTTAGAGATATCCATTATAATACAAAAAAAATAATAGATTGTGATTGTTTCAGTATTTAGCTTACAATTAGATCTTGCACAAAATGAATGTGGACCTCTGAAAAAATACTTTTTTTTTATTATTTACGATGGGTTCATTATTTAGATAATTATTGAATTAATTTTTCAATTGATTACTTTACTCGATTAAAAATAGAAACTAATTTTAAAAAAATAAATTATTTATCTCGAATATATTTACAATTGCAGTTTTATGAAAGAAACAATAATTACGAAGGAAATAATGGATATACTTTCTCGTATTTTATTTTATGCTCGATAAAAATGACGGTAAAAATTTCTGTTTAATTTTCTTTTACAATACATTTAAAAAAAATATGTATTTATAAAATAATTTTTATCAAGGAAATAATGGATATGGTTTCTTATATTTTATTTTATACTAAATAAAATCTAAAATATTTTTTTTATATTTTTTTATTCCTAGGAAATTAAAAAAACAACATATATATGCAATCATGGTTTTATGAAGGAAATAATAATCATACTCTAATTAAAGAAGATATAATTGCAATTTATTTGTCTATAAAGCAACAGAAGTTCAGTATTTCATATCAACATAAATAATAATACAGTCAAAGTAACCGTAAAACAATTCTAAACTTCATTCATAAAAATATAACCTTGCATTGCAAACGTCAGCAAAACTTATGTACGAGGTACGAGGCTGATCTATCCTCGTACCTCGTACATTACGTCATAACCTCGTACAAATACGAGGATCCTCGTACAAACGGCAACACTGCAAATGAATCGTAAGACATTTTAATCACAAAATAGAGAAGAAAAAAAGGTTATTAGTAAACATATTGAGTCGTTTGACGTGACATCCACCCTCAACAAGTCAAAATAAAGACAGTGTATAGTCAATACGGACCAATATTTTTGTAAGCCACTTTTTTTCTCGATTATTTTACGATTCAGGTAAAAAGCAAAGGTATATTCATTAGAATTTAGTAACTCATTTAATCAATCAATTTTGTGATAAAACGTTCAGTTTATGAAAATAGGTGAAAATTTTTTACGTTACGAAAAGATGAAGCTTTTTATGAAGTTATAGATGGATATTAATTATTTGATATAAATGGATCTGTAGCCTATTTGGACTTACAGACTAGAACTGTGGTAAGAAAGTGTGAAAAAAAAAAATCAGATTCCTCAAAATCTTTCTAATTGTAATCAACTGAATATAGGGATATTGCGATAATATTGATGTGGTCCAATATTGCATCGAAACATTGTATTCCCAAATTGGTTAATATATATAATTAATTAATTAATGTTTATTTGTTTTAAGCGAAATACTCCGTGGTACAGACCCTTTTTTATCGAATTATTAACATCCGCCTGAAACTCCATAAATAGTTTCATCTCATCTTAACCTACAACTATTTATTTACGAAAACTCATGAAATTGGGAAGTTTTCAATATGGAGGGAGGCAAACTTTGTCTATTTAATTAGGTACTAGAAACTCGTAAATACACATTTGCTTTCTACTTGGATCGTAAGATAATTTGATCACGAAATCGAGAAAACAGGTGGCCTTCAAAAATATGGAGCAGTTTGGCGTGACCTACACCCCCAAATTTTCAAAATAATGATGTTATATAGGACAAAACTGATTAATATAACCTGATTAATAATCTATCCTTTTGGAATACAAATTCATTCCTTCTTATACAACATTAGAGATATTACAGCACTCTTAAGGATTAATTAAAAATCATATTCGATAAAAATAAGACAGTTTAAATAGTTCCAATTATTTAATTAATAAAAAATCTACAATTGTTAACAATATACATACAATAATATACATACAATATCCTCGTTACTTCTTTTCTGGTCCTAAGCGCAAAACTTAAAGGTGTTTTACCATTTGTCCCTTTGCTATTACCATCTGCCCCATGATCGAGAAGAGCCATGATCACTGGAAGGCTTCCATTCAAAGCTGCATAGTGTATGGCTCCATTGTTACTGTAGTCTTTTGTTTCTAGCGTAGCATTTTTCGATACTAATAAATTTACAATACCTTCATCGCCATTCATTGCAGCAACCATCAAAGGTGTCATTCCAGTATTTCCTTGAACATTAACATCAGCTCCGTGAGCGATAAGAGTTTTAGTAATGTTAAGTTTCTTTTGCACTACTGCAATATATAAAGGCGTCATACCAATTTGGTTCTTTATATCCACACTAGCGTTAGTAAAGAGTAGTAAATTTACAATAGCTTCGTGACCGTTCCTAGCAGCCATGTGTAAAGGTGTTTCACCAAAATTACTATTATCGATGGAATGATAATCAATGGATGCACCAACGTACTTTGGATCACTTCGTATTCCACTATCAAGATCGGTTTTTAAATCCACACTTGCACTTCTTGAAAGTAGTAACTTCACAATAGTTACGTAGCCTTTCCTCGCTGCTATATGTAGCGGTCTTTCACCAAATTTCCCCTTACTATTGACATCAGCGCCGTGATCTAGAAGTATCTTAACTACTTCGGATTTTCCATTGTAAGCTGCATAATGGATTGGAGCATCCTCGAAAAAGTCTTTTTTATCAACCATTGCGTTCTTCTCCAGTAGAAATTTGACAATAGTTTCGTAGCCCTTTTCTGCCGCAAGACCTAGCGGTGTTTTACCTTCGTATCCTCCAAGGTTAACGTCATATTTCATTTCTAAAAGAACCTTAATCTTGTTGAGTTCGTGATTGGTTATAGCCCTGTGCAATGAAGAATCTTCACCCCGCCAAATACTTCTGCGTAATCGACCACCAAACTTTTCAAGCGATTTTCTTTTGTCAATGGAGTTCTCAATTTGAAGATTTCCGGAATGCGAAACGTGTAGTTCTTCATTTTGAATCTTAGTCTTAATATTTTTACCATTATTTGTTGAATTCACATTTTGAAAGATCCATTTAAGAGTCGATACAAGCTTTTCCTTTTGTTCATTTTCCTCCTGAAAATAAAAATAAATATATAAAAGGTTTGTATAGGTTTTTCATTTTTTTTCCTAATGTTTCAACTTAAAATTATATTTATTGTACACATTTTATAAGTACATCTGGATTAGCCCCAAAGGAGCGAAAAACCAAATTGACCATGTGCTGATAGACAAGAAACACCAGAGCTCAATACTAGATGTAAGAAGCTATCGTGGATTAGACTGTGATTCGGATCTCTCTCTGATCATAATTACACTATGTCAGAGATCGAGTAGAAAGTTCGTAATTTGAAAAATCCTAAAATAAAAACATAATTCTAACTTCAGGAGAAAAATAAATTCGAACCTTTGGATTCGGATAGCCTCACGGTGTACCAAAACTGGGATTAAATAGTGAAAGGATTAAAAAAAAAAGCTAAGGAAGTGATCGGTATTCAGAAGAAACGAAAATCTAAGATATGGTTCACAGAAGCATGCGAAAAGGCAGTAGAGGAGAGAAGAAAAATTAAAGTCCTCTGCCTAACTACAACTGATCAAGTTTCTCAGGACAAGTACACAGCTGCCAAGATAAAGACAAAAAAACGTGTAAGATCGGCAAAAAGGAAATTCCTTAAAGAAAAATTGCAAACCATTGAGGACAACTGGCAGGCTGGAGATATACGCGAGTTCTAAGCAGACATTAGGAAAGAATGGGTAGGATATAAGCGAGAAATACGCAAATGCGAGAAAAAGATGGCATTCTTACGTTATCTAAAGAAAGTATATTGAACATCTGGAAAGAACGTTTCCAGAAACTTCTCAATCAAGGGGACTCCACGATCGAAGAAGACATGGACCACACTGAGGACCTTGACCCAGAAGAGGTTGAAAAACAAGATATACTAGGTGTGGAAATAGCTATCGAAAGGCGCAAAACAAGAAAGGCCCTAGGATAGACAACCTACCATCAGAACTGTTTAAAGATGGAGGAGACGAATTAAGAACCAAGTTACTGCAACTAATCCAGAAAATATGGGAACTGGAAAGGATACCTTAGGCTTAGAATAAGGGCCTAATCTGTCCTATCCTAAAGAAAGGCTGCATGTATGAGTGTAGTAATTACAGAGGTAAAACATTCGTCCCGGTTGCCTACAGCATAATGACCAATATCCAACTAGACCGGACACATCCGTATTACGAGAATATAATAGACGACCACCAAGTTGGATTCAGAAAAAGGAAGAGCACGCTAGACCAGATTTTCATCCTAAAACGAATACTCGAAAAACGATGGGAAGTAGCTGATGACGTAGACGCCGTATTTAAAAGCAGCCTAAGATTCTGTGGACAGGAACTGTCTTTGGGAAATCAATACTGAACTGGGAATTCCCGGTAAGTCGGCGAGATTGACAAAGGCGTGTACAAATGAACCCAAAGGTAGAGTCCTAATACAAGAAGAACTATCTGAAGCCTTCTAAGTTCGAACGGGCTTACAGCAGGGAGATGTACTATCATCTATGTTGTTCAACTTAGCCCTGGAGAAGGTAATAAGAGCAACATCACAGGAAAATGGAGGAGTCCACGCCGGAATGAATCATAAAATCCTTGGATATGCCGATGATATAGCTGTCCTTGGAAGTAATCAAGAAGATATTGAGAAACTTGCTACAACACTAATGAAAAAGGCAGAGCAGATCGGCCTAAAAGTAAATGAAGACAAAACAAAATATATGATAATAAGCCAGTTAAAATATATTATTATAAATTATGACGCAAATAAGCCAGATGCTGAATCTCAGTGACCGAAAAACGGAAATAGAATAAAATTTGAAAAATTTTACATACGACCTTTTACACTAATAGTAGTGATATATATGTGAAATATATGTCCATCCTATCCTCACGTCTAACAAGGGAAAACCAAGCATGGCTGGAACAGCGTGGAATCGAGAATGTTGACGAATTTGTATATCTTGGTTCATTGATAAATGCGCGAAATAACATTGATTGTGAGATAGACAGGAGGATCGCAGTGGCTAATCGGTGCTATTTCTCCCTCCAGAGACATCTTCGCAGTAGAATGTTGTCAAGACATGCCAAATAAGTATATATAAAACTCTTATTAGACCAGTGCTCACATATGGCTGTGAGAGTTGGACCTTAACTAAAGCAGTTGAGAAATCCCTGCTAAGATTTGAAAGGAGGATTATACGACGCATATTTGGAGGGGTCCAGGAAACACCACAGAATTGGAGGAGGAGAACGAATTTAGAAATAAATACATTATTTAATGACCTGGATGTGAGCCAATCCATTGTACTGACAAGACTACGCTGGGCAGGACATGTCGCGCGGATGGATATGAATGCACCCCCACAGAGAGCTATGAATGAGCCTGTGTTTGGAAACAGACGAGTGCGAAGACCATGTTTGTTCTGGCAACACTGTGTGGCTGCTGATGCATGTAGACTACATGGTGCCAGGGATTGGAAGGCTGCAGCAACTAACCGGGAGAACTGGAGATCCATGCTGGAGCAGGCCAAGTCTCGAATAATTGGGATGTAGTGCCATTTAATAATAGTAGTGATGTATACTTAATAGGTATGTTTTCACTCGTAAAATGGATGGAACTAAAAAATCCATAGGATAAATTAAACTTGTTGTTTGTTCGGAGTTAACAAGACCAATACTTTTCTCCAGTTTGAACAAAACGCATTGAGCTAGAAAATATAAAAATAAGGGTGAAGTTCTCACAACTTCGATATTTAAGGAGGGTACCGATACCATGACGAATTGGTTGCTTTCTTTGGAGAACAGTATAGAAGTTACTGATATCAGTTGTTTCATACCTCATATCAGTCCATTTAATAATTAAAATTGTTAAGGGGACCCTACACGGTCAATCGGAATTGCACTAATGACGTTCCGAATTGTCGTGTAAGGTAGTGAATGAAGTACTGATGGTGGTGCGCTGCGGATTTCCGAACATCCGGAAATCAAAGGTTCATTCACGAGAAGTGATAGGTTAGGTTAGGTTTTCTATGAGACTAACCTTACTACTAGATAGGTTAGTTTACTTAAGTCTCGTTATTAAGTAAATAATTTCATAAAAGTAAATAGTTGTTATTATTAACTATAAGTCTATGTTATTATTAACCATTTTCAACTATTTTTTCTTTAAAAAGTCAAGTACAAAATAAATTGGAGAGAAAAAAAAGTGGAAACTTCACATAAGTAATGATCAGTAATGATTGAACGTGTAAGGGTCTTCATGATCAAAGCGATAGCGGGCAATCTCGGAACTTCATGTGACGTTCATTCATGAATTACCGTGTAGGGTCCCCTTTATAAATAATTGTTAACACTATAACAGCTGTGAAATGTGGAAGGCACTGATCATATGGAGTGGGAGTTAGGTTATTACAATATTGTTACGGGGTTATAAAATTTTAGGTTTTATTCAAAAAGTTAATTTATACTGTATTGTTTAGTCGATTCCAAACGTTACTGGCATGGCACTTACTACCGTTACATAGATTTCGTGTAATTTCAATACATTTAGAGTAATTTTTACTCTGGAGTTTATATAAAAAAAAAAGTCTTATTTGTGATTGTGTTTATTTCTATTGAAGTTCAATCAGCTCGTCGTGGTCTCAATTTTCTTCTTAAATATCAAAATTGTGCCAACTTCACTCATATTTTTATATTCAAGCTTAATTAGTTTTGTTGTAACTGAAGAAAAGTATTAGTCTCCTTAACTCCAAACAAACAAGTAGTATTTTTCCTATGGATTTTCTATTTCCATCCATTTTACGAGTGAAAACATACCTATTAAGTATATATCACTACTGTTAGTACAAAAAGGTGACATGTAAAATTTTACAATTTTATTCTGTATTTGACATTTTGTATAAAAAATATTATATGAAATTATACTAATAAATCTTAAAGAATTTATTAGTTTTTATGCTTTCATGTAAAAACTCTCAATTTTTACATACAACCTTTTCCACTAACTGTACCATTAATTTTTTTTTTAATCACGAATTATCAAATATGCAATCTGCAAATGCGGAACTCTTTCGCATTTTAGTATTCGCTGATGAACAAAACTTGTGGATATCAAACCTGTATATGTTAAGGGATAACTGAATTTCTGAAAACGGCTTTTCCCAGAGATTTTATTCTCATACGAAAAAATTTAGATCTTGTAATAAAAATATTTTGTAGCTAATGAAAACAGTGAGGAAGCTAAACTGACTTTACTAGGCAGATGTTTTTTTTACTTAGCCGTAATGATGAATTGCAACATTTATTCTCATTAAGAGTATAGAAGTCTATTGCTGAGACTATAGAAATATAGATGGATATTTTTTTTTTTTAACCAGATGATAAGAGGAAAGCATAGAACATACCAGTGAAAGTGAAATTTATATGACCCATGATTTATAAAATTATACTTTAGCTTGCACTGATATTAAAAATAGGAGAGCAATAAAATATTTTGGGAGAAGAGGGAGGGAGGTGGTCACTTCTGTTCAGTATTATACTCGTTCGAATTTACAGCGAAAGATTGTCAAAATCCAGAAACACCGTTCGTAATCAATTCATGTCAAAGGAACTTTTTTGTTGGAAATATTGTCTAAAATCATCCTCCAGAATTTTGCCATTAAGAACTAGAATGCCCAAACTCTATGGGGTGATTCTAAAAATATTGTCCACCAAAAAAATAGATTCGTCTTCGGCACTTCGAGATGGTCTCATGTGTCCCACCTATATGCCGAGTCAAAGTGGCTCTTCCCCTCTTCC